TTGTGTATAAAATGTTTCAGTCTGAAAAGAAAACGCTAGCAAAGCCCTCCAGCTGTGACTTGCAGTCATACTAAAAAACAAAACAAAAAACCTTTCTTGATTTATTTTGATGGTAGAGATTTATCTAACCCTATATATCATTGCTTGACCCCTGTCAGGAGTTTGATCTTGACAGGGCTCAAGGTTGACTCAGCCTTCCATCCTTCCGAGGATCCAGATTTTGCGGGTGGGGCAATAGGCAACTAATGCTTCTACCTTGTTAACAGCCCAGGGAGTGCTGTAAGGTGCTATGGGGCTGTATATAAGTCTAAGTGCTGTTGCTATTGAATACCTTCGTAATGCTGAAATGGCTATTCAAATGAATGAGAAAGTCAAGGCAGAAGTATCTGAATTATACAGGCTACTAGCTGGTAATCTGGCATTGCCCGGGTATTTATAAATGTAGAAACCTTTGTCTGACAGGAAGCCATTGAGAGGGGCCTTTCTTCTCCCTACTCCCATGCCCATCATCCCTGCCCTCTCCCTTCTCCCTCCCATGCATTCCTCTTTCCCGCCCTGTCTACAATCCTGGCACTTTGCCTCAAATCCATCAGGTGCTTCCCCATTGCTCCACTGGAAGGAGAGTGTTGCAGCTGCCTTTCCAGAGAAAGCTGAAAAGGAACTGACATCACAAACAATTGTCGCTCTAGGACTCACTCTCTTTAATGGCCCAGGTGTTCCACATTTATGCTGGAACACATATACACAGATATACCCAGGGGTGTATTAACCACCCCAGTATTCGTTTCCAGAGGTAAGTCATCTGTGTACCAAGTTTGGTTGAAATTGCTCGAACAGAAGGAAGATAGGAAAAGAAAACCATAATGAATTTGCTAATAGAAACTTATCGTATTTTTCAGAGTATAAGATGTACCGGACTATAAGACGCACCTACCTTTTTTGGTGATGAAACAAAGTAAAAGAAATTTCCCTCTGCCTGTGTCTCTGAGCAATTTTGCCTCGTTGCAGCAAACAGCAAACAGCCTGCTTTACTTTCATTTTCGTTTTCAGCATAGCTTGATTAGCACAAGGGGAAAAAAAATCTGCTCCAGCAATTTACCTCTTTGCAGCAAGCAGCAGAGCCCTACGCAAAACAGCTGAGAGCAAATCAGCTGAGAGTCGGAAGGCCGATCTAATCAACTTGTGCTAATTAGGCTGTGCTGAAGCTGAAAGGAGCTGTTTTTTCTTGCTGTTTGCTTGCAAGGAGGTAACTGCTGTGAGGCAGAGGCCAAAGGGTGGGGGCCAGTGGGTGGGCAGGGATACATTTGGTGTATAAGACACACCTAAATTTTCACCCCCTTTTAGGGGGGAAAAAGGTGCATCTTATACTCCGAAAAATACGGTAAATCATTTCACACTCCAAGTATAGCTTATCGGTAGATGGAGTCAAAATTATGGCAAAATCTACTAGAAATATCCTAATGCCAGAAAAGAATCAATTGTACAGCTGTCTATGGATGAAAACTTGCTGAAGAAGGAAAATACCAATCCCTTCATTCTAAATCTAAAACAGATTTTCTTTAACCAAAGAAGTTTCTTCATCATTACTTATTTAGTATCAAAAAAAAAAAAAAGTCCAGATATATATTTAAAATATGGCGGATCTTGAAAAATGGAGTTGGCATTTAGGATATGATTTTATATGTGTGGTCTTCAAAAGACGGGATGCTTCACATGGAATCCTAATTCACCTTGTCACTGGGGTCTCACTGTTTGAATTTGTTACTTCCAAAAATATTCTCTGCAGCCAGGCACGACACCGTGGAGTTGAGACTATTTGCGCAACAGCTGATCAAATATTTAAAGGATAGTTGACTTCAACTTGCCTCTAATAATCCTACTTGGCAGCTCACCAAGCAGCATTGTGTTTGTGTTTTTGTCTTGTCTTTTTTTTTTCTTTTCTTTTTTTTTTAAAGAATCGTGTATAGGTAAAACATTTAATTTCAGTTTCTTTTTCTCCTCCTCCTCCTCCTCCTCTTCTCCTCCTTCTCCTCCTCCTCTTCTCCTCCCTTCTCCTTCTCCTTCTCCTCCTTCTCCTTCTCCTCCTCCTCTTCTCCTCCTTCTCCTCCTCCTCCTCCTCTTCCTCTTCTCCTTCTCCTCCCTTCTCTTCCTCCTCCTCCTCTTCTTCTTCTCCTCCTCCTCCTCTTCTCTTTCTCCTTTTCCTCTTCTCCTTTTTCTCCTCATCTTCCTCTTCTTCTTCTCCCTCTCCTTCTCCCTCTCCTTCTCCTTCTCCTCCTCCTTCTCTTTCTACTCCTCCTCCTCTTTTCCTCCTCCTCTTCCTTCTTCTCCTTCTCCTTCTCCTCCTCCTCTTCTTCTCCTCCTCCTCCTCTTCCTCTTCTCCTTCTCCTTCTCCTCCCTTCTCCTTCTCCTTCTCCTCCTCCTCCTCCTCTTCCTCTTCTCCTCCCTTCTCCTTCTCCTCCTCCTCTTCTTCTCCTCCTTCTCCTCCTCCTCCTCCTTCTCTTTCTCCTTCTTTTTCTCCTCATCCTCCTCTTCTCCTTCTCCTTCTCCTCCTCTCCTTCTCCTCCTCTCCTCCTCCTCCTCCTTTTCCTTGTATAAATTAAGAAAAACACAACAGAATTCAAAATAAAAATTATTCTACAGTAGCCAAATTGGGACAAAAAAAATGGACATCATTTCCTGAACAATACCCAGGAGGGTTCTGAAAAGTAAATAAATTCAGTGTTTTATTACATTCTCACTAACTTTCAATACAGTTTTGGTAAGTTCTGGCTCACCATATGATCAAGGGCGGGGGGAAGAATTCGGAAGAAATAAAAAGAGTTGTCAACACCTTTCTAAGAGAGCTGCCTTATCTCCAGAAGACATCGAACTACATTTTTAAAAATAAACCTCACACTAAAAAAGAAAAGAAAAGAAAAAAAAACACTCACAGAGCTGCTTGTTTTTTCTAATTTTAATCCTGTTTAGATTAAATCATACTTTATTTTATCAATTTCTATCCAATAAAGATCCAATTGAATTTCCACTTCTTTCGCCCTCTAAATAGAATTCATGTAGTTGCCCAGGAAACTTGTGACTTTATTCGAAATAAGCAAGTTCAGCCATATGTTATCTTCAGCTCTGAATCAAAAGATATTGTTGTGGTCCACCAGTAGCCCGTGGAGCTAGCAGCAGAGTGAGGAGGCTGGGGAGGACCATGGGCCAGTCCTGGAATCAGGGGAAGGCCCAGATGAGGGCTCTGCGTCGGAGGCAGAGATGGGGCCAGGGCCATCTGGGAGTGATGCGCGGACTCCGGAGCCTCCAGAGTCAGACAGCAGAGAGGCAGAGGAACAGGAGGAGCCTGTTCCTAGTGCATGCATGTGCAGAGCTGCCAGAAGGCAAGAGCAGCTAAAGCAAAAAGGATGACTTGGGAGTAAGGACAGGAGGTGATTGGCCCCTCCCGTAAGGCTTAAAAGAGCAACAAAGGCTCTTGGGCTCAACGTTGCTACATCTGTTTTCCAGTTGACATCTCTTGTTTCTGAATTTCGTGGGACTTTGTCAAGAAAGTCCTTTGGCAGGGTGCCAAAGAAGATAAAGGTTTGTGATAAGCCCGAAGGACTTTTTCTAAAGGACTTGTTTTGGAATTAATTTGGACTAAGCTGGGAATGAAGTAATTCCCAGCTATTATAATAAAATAGGTTTATTTAAGACTAATTATGTCTGGTAATGCCTAATTGAGCCTAGGTCACAACAGATATTTAGCAATAAACCCGTCCGTTCAGATGAATAAAATGCACTTTTTAAATAATCGGCTTTATAGAAAGTTATAACATATCCAGTTCATCCACTCATTCACCCATCCCTTCATATTCTGAATAGTGATGTATTTCAAAGGACAATGAGAAACAATGGTTCCAAAATTGGTTGTTTTCGGTAAATTTGTGGATTCTCAATGCTTTTCATTGACCATTTCCATTCCATTGGCCAGTTATTTTGGTTGATCAGGGTTGGCCCTTGCATAGAGTAACCCCATAAACAGTTCCTTAGACAGGTACAGTTCTTCAACTTGTCCCAAAGGTGTTTTTTCAAGAGTCAACTGGACTTTCTGGTTTTTCTTTGAAGACGTTTCGCTTCTCATCCAAGAAGCTTCTTCAGCTCTGACTGAATGGTGGGGAATGAGCTGAAGAAGCTTCTTGGATGAGAAGCAAAACATCTTCAAAGAAAAATCAGAAAGTCCAGTTGCCTCTTGAAAAAACACTTTTGGGTCAACCATGACCCAAACCTCCAACCATGACTGAACATCTCCATAGACAATTCTTCAACATCATTGTAAGGGAGCCTGGAATTTCCATTGTAAGTAATGATTGTTCTAAGTAAAGGCTTCCAATGGACTGACCCAATTTTATGCTCTTCTTTTGTGGCAACCATGAAATGAATGCCACAGTCATTAAGTGAGTCAATGCGAGTTTATTGCCAGAAACATACAAGAGCAGACTATCAGAAAAAGGTCTCTTGGCATCTTCTTATCTGTTTGGTTAGGACAGAGATATGGTTGTGTACTATTAAATCTTCAAAACTAGCCCGGTGCATTATATGCAATTTTCTCTGGAAAATTAGGGCAAATGTTTTGTGAACAAAAATTATAACTGAATAACAACCAGGGTACCAGTTATACAGGTAATAAAATGAATAAGCTAGCTATGCTTAAATGTTGCGTTTTTTTCCCCGGTGGAATATAATCCTGTGTAAATGAGGATACATTTCTCAGTAATGATATACTGATTTTGTACCTAATTTAGATAACGAAGACTTCTGTCTATTAAGATTTTAAGTAATGAGGGGAGGAGAGGCAAATTGAATTCTTATCAGCTTTGAAATGCTTTTGATTTAGTCATTACTTCTGGAAAGCTATTCATCATTTCCTTCCTTCCTTCCTTCCTTCCTTCCTTCCTTCCTTCCTTCCTTCCACCCTCCCTTCCTCCCTCCCTCCCTCCCTCCCTCCTTCCTTTCATGATTTATAGGCTCTCAGCGACCAGTCATCCTTTGACTCCTCAGTGCGATATGGACCTTAGTAGTTCTGAAGAATTCTACCAAGCTGTCCACCATGCTGAGCAGACCTTCAGAAAGATGGAAAGCTACCTGAAGCAACAGCAACTCTGTGATGTTATTTTGATCGCTGGGAACCGTAAGATACCTGCACACAGGTATGTATTAAAGTAAAAGAGTTATAGGAACCATTTGTTAGGCAGGAGTGGAAAAACGCCAACTGCAATCGCACCCCATTCTTGAAAGTATGTTGTTGTTGTTGTTGTTGTTGTTGTTGTTTTATATTATTATTATTATTATTATTATTATTATTATTATTATTATTATTA